TTCTGAAAGATTGCATGTGCAGCCCTCAACAGCTCATCAGAACTCATTAAGTGGCCTGCCAGCCAAAATAACTGCTCACCCCTGGCTGCTGGTTCAGTTTATGGTCTATTGTAACCCCCAGGTCCTTCTCTGTATTACTGTAGCCTAGCAGTCATTCCCAAGCCTGTATTTGTGCATGCAATCAATTATTCGATCCCATGTGCAGGACATAACACTTGTCTTGGTTGAATCTCATCTGGTTGACTGCGGACCACTTTTTCCAATCTAGCCGGGTCATTCTAGGTCCTAACCCTATCCTGTGGAGTATCTGCAACTCCACCCATCTTGGTGTTATCTAGATGCATTCAATCCCTTTGTCCATATAATTAATAAAAGATATTAAACAATACTGGACCCAGGGCAGAGCACTGGGGAACCTCACTTGATTCCTTGTTCCAACTAGATATTACGCCATTAATGACTATAGCATGATGATCTAACCAGTTATTTATCTACCTTACAGTACTTTCATCTAATCTGTATTTCCTCATCTTGTTAATGAGAATGTTGTGGAGGACGATGTCAAAAGCCTTGCTAAAGTCAAGATAAATCATATCTAAGACTCTCCCACATCCACAGAGCCTGTCACCTTATCACAGAAGCAAATCAGTTTGGTCATGCTTGCTCTTGGTGAATCCATGCTGGCTGTTCCCAATCACTTTGTTATCCTCTAGGTACTTCACAACAGATTCCTTGATGACCTGCTCTATGATCTTACCAGGTACTGAGGTCAGGCTGACTGATCTAACTCAGTTGATCCACTCTTTAATCAGCTTTATAAAATACAGATGTCCATTTTGGCTTTAAAAGATAATGCCAAACAGGAAAAGACAGCAATAAGTTCAACTGATCACTAGAAGAAACCACTAATCAAAGTAGGCAGTATTAAGAATCAGAGGGTATGCTCCTATATACAGTTAGGATCCTTTATGCAGGAGTACCTCTCAACAGTTCTGCAACGCTGGGGCACTAACACCATAAGTGAATACTTCACAGTATTTCCTAAGACTAGTACGGTCCACTCTTGTGTGAATCACCGCTAATCTTTCCTCCAGTTTCACCATTTCTGTTTGTCAGATAATTAAAGAAGTCTTACTATGGTTGATAAAAATCAAGGTCTCAAGCAATCTTACTTATAAATAGAAAAACTTATGAATAAATGAAAGTACAACATTTTAAGTACACATTTTGACAAAAAAAAAATTGAGCTCTATTCTTACCAATCAAAATACTGTCCCTAAAGAACAGAGCACACCACCTTCTGAATCATGGAGCTGTCCAAACCAGCAGTGACAAGTCAGTTTCATTACCAACCGAAGTAAAGTAAAGAGCCCCATGGACTACAGATGTTTTTGCAGGCGATCTCTATAGTACTCCACTGCATGTGTAGAATACATCTCTCATACACAGAAACATATCTTGTCCCTTCTGCAAGCTGCAAGAGGGCCAAACATGCTTGATAAATTACAAAAGGTCTTTTTCAAAGCCTCTGAGTACAACTTCTGACAAGCATTTTGCTGTGACCAAACATTCCCAAAATTAATAAGTCTCCCATGGTATATACCCTGCTAAGCAGGGTAATCAGGAACAAGTCTTTGGTACTTTTGGGTATCAAGGTCTGGTATATTCCTAAAACCATGCACATAAGAAGGATGTCCATATATATTATTATTCTAGCAGAAAATTGAGAAGCTGCTAGGAATGTCAGAAACAGACTCTATGGGATCTGCTACATCTGGTGCAGAAATATTAACAAATCTGGAATGGAAGCATTAGCAGTCTACATTTTAATGAGTCTAACAGAATAGGACTGTGCCATAAGTCTAGTCTGCATATTAGATTACTAACAACAGATAAAGTGAAGCCTACAGGCATCTTGGACAATACTGTACAGAAAGCTGGGGACAAGCAACACCTACCTACAGATCTGTGGCAAGACCTGACTATGGGTAAAGGAAAGTTTCTGTAATGCACTAGGCTATGGCAGTACTGCATATGGGACATACAAAATGTGAAAGGAGACTGAAAACTGAACTTTGAATCAGCTACAAATTTACAGTTCAACCTACCTTGGGCACATACTCAGGGCAAACACTCTGCCTCAGTAAAGGTAGACCATTTTCACATCAGGCCATTTTGTCTACCTTAAAAGATACTCTGTATGCAAGCTTCCTTTAGAGTTGCTAAATATATATTTTGTTGTGTTTCTGTTAACACACATATTCGGAGTTTAGGCAAATCAAGACATATCAGGCAGGAAATTCCAGTACACAGTAGACAAGAAAGCTGTCTCCTTTTGTGTACATCTCAAGGATGGTTTCACTGCCTTGGAAAGGTTTCAGAACTCCAACTTGCAGCTTTGGCTACAAGCCTCCTCAAGTGATCATTATAGATGTCTTCTAATTACCTCAGGGCCTCCAGAGGCTTGGAACATCAAAAGCTATCTTTTATTTTCTCTTTCTATTCATGACACTAAGGCCTATGTATTGCAAAAATGATGGATTCCTCTGTATTTTTCTGTCAAAGATGAGCTTCCTGAGCCTGAATTAAGTTTTTCTCTCTTTAAAATTCTTAACATTTACATTGCATAACGCTGAAAAAAAAAGTCATCTCTCAGTAGGTTTACAGCTGGATGGCCAGATTGCTGAAGAACCTTCTGATGATATAGGCACACTAGGCCACAACCTCATATTAACTTGGTTAGGGAAGGAGGGTGGAGGGAAGGAGAATAAGAGAGGACTAGAGAAGACTGCTGCAAGCATAGTTATATACATTGTTCCCTCCTTCAAGTGTTACTTTAATTCTGCCTTTTTTATTGATATGAATTACTTCTACATCAACAGTCACCTGAGGCAGCACAGGATGCCCTATTAGGTCTATATGTCTGAGCTACTTCCTTTCTGTCTCTGGAAGCAATAATTGCTTCTCAGGCCTGCACCATCTGGTTACAATTACAGTTCAGAGACCTTCTTCCATTTCTTTTTGATCCCACTTTATATTTTTAATTCTACAAAAGAAAGTTGAGTATGATGTAGTAAAGCATGTTCCTGTTCAGAGGCAGAGAGGAATGGGAAAAAAAGAACAAGTCACAGCAATGGAGAAGAGAGAGAAAAAGACCACTAAAAAGAAAATCAATACAATCTTAGAGGCATGTGATTTAGCAGCTATGTACACTGGAGTCTGGTGGAGGTTCAGACTTCCACCAATATTGGGGATGTTTCAATTCATTGTTTTGGGTCTGGTCCATTTCTATTTCTGAAGAAAGGAACAGTCTGTACTAAATTAGTGAAGAACTGTATTCTATAAAGCCATTTAAAAAAAAAAAAATCTTACCACCACATGATTAATAACTGTTCACTTACCTGTATGTCTTGTTTATCTACTGCCGAGAACAAACCACAAACTTGAAAAAACGAAGTGGGAAAACAATGTCTCCACAGAGCACAGGGCTTCCCTGAGAGTAAGCACTCCCACACAACATACTGAAAAACAGTATTGGGAGCCCCCACATAATACATTTTATAGCAGTTTTTTGCCAGTAAACTTCTGCTACATAAAAATTAAGTTGCCAACATATAAAGAAATCTTTCAGGGACAAATAAGTCAACAACTTAATAGGTACAGAAATATCAGCATTCTGAGAAATTTGGGCTTATTTCCTTTCTAGAAGAGGAAGAAAAATGCCAACGTTGTAAGATACACATAAAAAGCATCTTGCTTATTTTTTAAAAAAATGGTCCTTGTAATACAGTTTAGCCCTTCTGCTTATTCCTCTTTCTGAACCGTCCACGGTGACTTAGGGCAGAAAAAGAAGTTGCTAAACGAAGCAGATCAGCTGTGCCGAGATGTGTTCCAGCACCGCTGATCTGTTTCATTGGGCAAAACACATTGCCTGTTGTTACTACAGGTCAATGGGTGATGTATTCTCCAAGGGCTTATGGGGCCCGGTCCTGCACACACCAGGAATGCCTGGGCGGAATCAGGCCCCTTGAGCCGCAGGCACCTGTCCCATACAACCATTTCACTGTAAAATCTAAGAGTCCACTTTCCCACAGCCTACTAACCATCTTGCTCTTTCAGCAGCAACCAGCTCTATCCTCCTCCCCTTCCACCTGCTACAAAAGATGGATGAAAAGCAGGGAAGGAAAGGGGCCATAGTTATAACTTGAAAGGCAACAGTTTAGAAGAGCTGCCAACAAGCTACCAAATAATACAGGCTGGAGAAACAGTTACCTGGAATGTGCTTTGAAAACTGTAGGACTTCCCTAAACCGGTAAATACGAAAGAAGATTACTAGAGATAAGGCCAATAGAAATTGATTTTATATAAATTACACACCCACAACTTCTAAACTGTAAAAAGATTCCAAACACTCAATTTCTCACAAGCTACAAATTTCATCTTAGATGGTGGCACTGTCCTGCCACCAGTTCTGTAACTACGTATCCACCAACTGTAACCTGCTTGGGGTGGAATTATGAGAGTTCAGCATTGACCCAGTAGACCAGCAAGGTCTACCAAAAGCACTTCATTTTACTTCAGCTGACAGAGGTAGACCAGCAATGAGCACTTTTCAAGTTATATACTGATTATACGTTGAAGGAGCTGAGAGCTCAATTTCTATATGCATGCAGAGAGATCAGGTCTAGATTATCAAAATTATGCGGTGTCCGAGTTTTGGATGATTATGAAATCAAAACATTTATTTCAAATTTGATGTTAAAATGTTGATTCCCCAAAGAATCATTTCAAACAATCACAGAATGTTCAAGCAGCCTAAACAAAGAAGTCATCCTCATATATGCCCATCATAATTCAGTATATTACATTCAAATTTTAAAATCATTCTGAGAATGCATGCACACAACCTAATTTCTTTAAGACAGACAAACTTAAAAGAGCCTGCTAACATACGTTACGTCAAAAAATTCAAATGACAGCTGAGCAGCTTTTCATCTTACCTCTGGAGTGTTTTTCTTGAACTCACGACTTTGCTCAATAAGCTTTTTTCTAGACTGTTCACTTTCATCTTGTCGGTTAGCCAATATTGTTGCTGTGGCATCAAGCTCTCTCTGGAAAGAAAAAAAAAATACACAATTGTAAATGCAGCGTTTAGGAAAGGTCCTACTTACTCAGGCAAATTAAAATACAAGACATTTATACATGTTTTCCCAAGAACATCCAAATGGCTAGTTTATAAACAAACTGCAACAAAGATAACAAGCTCCAGAGATTAGGTCCCCTGAATTAAATTAATCTCTACATCCTCCAGGATTTGGGTTCTGTCCTGAAACCAAAAATTCTACTGGGGTTTTTCTATACCTAAGCTACAACAAAATCTTCTTTCAAAAAGATTTATTGATATGCAACAATATTAAGGTAATATTAAAGACCAGCAACAACACTAATGCAACACAAATCCAATTGGGGAAATAGGTCTACATCAAGTTCAAGCGGGCTCAAATTAACTGATTGACATAACTTGCTTCTTTCCTGCCCTTATAATCAATCGTCCTCTTGGTTACTCAGAGTGAAAAAGCAATGCTTAAGCAATGCTTAAATACTGGCTCCTCTGCATGTCTACCTTATGCTGGTTTCATTCTTTCAGAATTTGGATTTGGGTCACAAACTGATTGCTGGCATCACTGAGCTCTTCTCTACATCACGTTTTAGGAATCTGGAGACAAGCCTCAGGAAGACCCTTCTAACTTTTCTGACAACCAAGTTATCCTTAGCTTGTTCTTTTCGTTGTACTCAGAATTCATCCCCTTTAGATTATGAAAAACTGCTGTTATCCATTTGCTGACTTTTCTCATTAGGATTATATGAAATTACCTTCCTTTCTCCAGTGATGTTTTATGAATGCCAGAATAACATCCACCCATCCATACTAAGCACAGATGCAAATGGAGCCCACAAACTATTCTCAAGCTTTGCCCAAATGATTTCAACTTGGTTATCCATGATCATCTATTTTTCTGTACTCAATATTGCACCTTGAAAATTCTGCCACACTGAATTGCATGGGTCATTTATCAGTGCATAACCTAACACAATTACAATAATTCAGAGTCAATCTGTTTGCTTTTGCAGTATTCGTATGTTATATTTAAACATTAAGGGCTAAATATTCCACTTGGGTATAATACAGAATTCCCACTGAAGTCATGAACCTACTGCCAAGCATCTGTGGGGACAATTTTACTTTTTTCTTAATTTTTAATCAATTTTCTTTCATTTTTCATGAATGTAAAATTCAGTCAAAGTGAAAAAAACAACCCAATAAAGCAAGGCATAATGCAGGTATAACTCCAGGGCAACTTTCTCCAGATAACTCTGTCAATATGCCTCAGTCCTGGCCTGCAAAACCCCTAATATTCTCTGCAGCAGGAACTGCCAGTTTTACAAAATTGTACGACAAACTTACAGATGTAAACAAATATTGATCAAGAACCAGACAAACTACCAACTGATTTAATTTGTGATCTATTATCAGCCTTGATCCTAGGTTTCCAATAGTCAGCTTCTTCCCTATTTAGACACTTTAATACAGTATATTTAGTTCCCCTCCCCACCCTTGAAAGTAGCTGAAACCAGTTTGAGACAAACCTGGTTGAATGCAGTAACAGATTCAACTGATTTAGGTCAAACCGGTTTATGCAATGTCTGTCACAGACACCTTCCTGGTTTAAGTGAAATCAGAGTCCCCCAGCATCCCAGATACTTTGCAGCTCTGGGCAAGGCTGTCTGCTGGAGCAGAGGAGGGCTGGTCCTGCCCTTCTCCTTCCTAGCCAGAGCACTATCACTGCTCCAGCTGGTTAAGGGACTGCAGCACTGCCAGGCTTCTCCCTCTCCTCCACATGCCCTCCCTGTTGGCTGCTCAAGCAGGGACTCCCCTCCCACCCCTCTCCCATGGTAGGGACCCCAGCATCTGGCCAGTCTCCCCACCCCTCCCCCCCAAGCTAGCTACTGCTGAGAGGTGTCTATATGGGTCTCCAATTTCACCGGAACAAAGGCAGAGAGACAGTGGCTTGCAAATGCAAATGCACCCTACAGATGAGAAGAGCTTGAAACTAATGAGAGAGATGTTTACTTTTGTAGGGCTTGATGGGCTGATAATCTTTGTTCTGACAAACAACCTGCTCCGTGCAATCTGTCAGTCTGAAAGAGGGGACAGAGAAAGGTGTCAGAAATTACCTGGTTTTCAGTTTACAGTCTGAAGAAGCAGGGAGACAGAGATTGAAAAGCTCAGTATCAACAAAAGTATCAACAGATGCAGGGTCTGACAACACTGCCACCCCTTGAGCAGCCAGTGGAGAAACGCCTGGGACTGCAGGCAGGGTGGAGGTTTATACCCCTCCATAATCAGAGCATCCTGCCAGGGCCTGGCTACACCCCCCCACCTCAGGTCAGCACTGTGCAAGGGAAGGAAGCATGAATGACCCGTGCCCCCAATGGCTGGGGGGGCAGGGCGACCGCCCGCAGGTGGTGGTGGCAGAAGCAACAAGCGGGGAGCTTCTGCAGGTAGCTGTGGTGACACCAGCCACGGGGGCGGGGAGGTTGAGCGCTGACCAGCGGTCCGTGACCACCCACAGGCAACGCCAGCAGCAACAGGGGTGAACGGCGACCACCCACAGATGCCGCCAATGGTGTCGGCAATAGGGGGGAGGGGGTGGCAAGCAGCGACTACCCACAGGCGCCACCAGCAGCCTTGGTGGCACATCTCTCAGGGGGTGCACCACCAATCTCAGGGGGTGCATGTGTACCCCCTATGCATCGCCAATGGAAGGAAGGGCTGCTCTGAACCACTGCAGGCATGTACCTGCATTTCTGGAATGAAAAGGGAATGTCTATCTACCTCCAAATGGGTTCAAGGTTTGCAGGTTGGACTAACCTGCAAAGATTGAATCAATTCAGGCTCAGGTTTTTTGAATGTCTGTCTCTAGCCATTAAGAGCCACTAAAGTGAGACAAAGATGGTGGGTAGATATGAAGAAACCACCTGCCATTTTTTCTTGCAAATAGCAGACCACAGGCAGTAACAGACCACAATAAAGTAGGTGAATTTGTAACCTACTGATTTTATGAACATACCAATGCTGTCCTGATTAATCTTGTTGCTTAGCATTTCTCAGAATCATGATTCTACAGGACCAGCCTAACATTTTACTGATAAAACAAGGTATAACTACAATATAAAACTTTAAAAATTTCAGCTACCCGTATTTATGGGCACTATAAAGTTGGAAAATGTACTGGACAAAATATATATTTTTAACATGCAGATAAAAAAAGAGAAAAAAAGTTTAAAGAAAATTCCACACAATACAAAGTCCAATACATCAGGCTAGTTAAATCACTTTCATTCTACATACTTTGGGGAAAAATCTACAGCCAAGGCATTGGTTTTACTTTGTCATGTATATGCTATTTCCCATTAGTTCTAAGATTAGACGAAATGTAGATTGGACGGATGTGCACATATTTTACATGATTTCATAAGCCTAAGTTTTTGGAAGAGGGAATGATGGACTAAGGATTCCTTTTGCAATATCCAGTTAGTCTTTTTCTTCCCCTCACAGTAAAGAGAGATGTTCAATATCCAAGAAAAAAGCTAAATGTGATCACTATAGCTGAAGCCAGAAATGTGCTGGGGCTAGTGACTCAAATAGCAGCAGCACAGTGCTAAAATAAACCTTAATATTTCAACTCTGAAAAACGTTTTAAGGCAACATGTCCAACAGATTTTGGTTTTGAATTCTCTAACATATGTGAAATCTATTGCAGAAAAGTGGGAAATACTTAACAGTTGGATAAACCACATTTGAAATTCATCCCAGTTAAGTTTATGCAAGAAAAAAAAGAGCAAACACAAACCATTGTGGTTAAGCAGTACTATAAAGAGCAATATAACAGTTAAGCAGAAGGCTTCTAAAAAATATAAACAATCTGGTAAGGATGGCAACTTTGAAAACTGTATTTAAGAAACCGAGCAGAAGTTAAAGGAAAAATAAAAAAAAATTATGAAATATGAGAAGAGCAGCAGATGAAAACATCAAGTTAATGCTGTACATTTAAAAGTGTTAGTAATGCATTAAAAGGAAATAATAGAAAAAGTGGAATATTTGTGAAAATTTGGGTTCCAATTTTAAACAAGAGTAAACAAGCAAAGAATTCCTTCTAGTGCCACAAATCATGTTTAAGAGCAGCAGACCCAGTTTTGTGAGGGTTTCCACTAAACAAAGAAACTTTCTGGTGGTGAGAACTACTATGTCTGTTATCTGTATCACTCCTCACCATACAAAGCATGCCAGGGAAAAGAGAAAATGCAAAGGATGTGACTGTATCTCAGTTATCCTAAACTGCTGAAATAACCACTTAAAAACAGAAGGTTGAAAGTGTAACGAAGCGCAGCACATAGACAACGCTCACAATTTGGTCCAGCATCTATGAATAACAATGGAAACCATCATGAATACTTTAGACACAAAAATAACAGTTTCAAGTCTTCTAGATAAGAACTGAAGCAGAAATAAGGATAGATATTTTAAAAAGACTTCAAGTGACGCTGTCAGGACTAGTGAGCCTCAAATTAGAGTTATTAAAAGTAGCCAATTCATTCTTAATTTCTTCTTTATCATCATTTATGCATGAGGGCTGCAAGGCTCATTTCTCAGGGAAAAAAGCCAACTGGTTATTTATTGCTTGTACCCATACAATAATTCCTGAAGATTTTCCTACACTTTTAGCATATACAATAACATCTCAGAAGAGTGTGCGACTATTATGGAATTCACTATAGTACACTGCATTATTCTTAGAAGCAAATAGATACCACAAGTATAAGCAATGTTCACTCATGCCTCAGATCTACAAGTCTCCCAAGTAAGACAAATTTATGGCCCACTAGCCTTGACAATAATTCTCTAGGCACCCACTAGGAAACTGGAGATTCACGTTTATAAAGACAGAAAAACGTCTGAGATTCTGTTAAAATCAGAGCATGTTAACATGCCTGAGTGTTCTCTGGCTGTCTCACAACTGAACATTTTCAACTTCAAAGATGTAAGCAA